GCCAACAAAAGTGCCCCTCTCGCAGTCATTAATGTGGCCCCTGACATGAAAACAAAACGGTCCCTCAAACGCACACATGAAAGCATTATGATCGCGCTTAAAAACTGTCTCCTCTCTTGTAATGCAAAAGCGCCCCTCAAGATATACACATTTACCCCTCGCGCATTAACAAGATTGTGAACCTTCTTGAGAAGGAAAATTATCCCTCGAAAGCACAAACACCCCTTTCGCAATAATAAAAGTGTGCCCCTCTCGAGATAAGAAAATGACCATCAAAAACAATAGTGCTCTACTCGCCGATAACTAATCGAGATGGAAAACTGCCCATCGAAAGCACAACTACTAGTGCCCCGCTCGCAACATTAAAACGGTGCCCCTCTCATCACAAGATGCAAAACTGGCCTAAACAAAAAAAAAGTGCTCCTCACACGAATAAAATGGTCACTGAATGAACTGTCCATCAAAAGCAACATTGCCCCTCTCGCGATAAAAAAAGGGTCCTCTGCATAGGCCTAACTACTCAAACTCAAGCGAAGCGAATCATTTTGATCCGTGTCAACGTTTGTACATGTACATGTGGGTCTTTCTATAAAGTAGGGGTCCAATGAGAAATGTTGTCCTTTTTGCTTAATTTAACTAAATAGGAAATCGATTAAAGTTTATGGAACTTTATATGTAACAAACTCCAATCAGTTGCATAGATAAAACCTACAAATTTGGTATCTTGATCCCATTCCTGTTTTGGTTAAAAATCAGCCGGGAATTCTCATAGTTTTGGCTAAAAAAGTACAGTCTCAAACTACATGTATTAACATTTGTGCAATTTCAACATGAGATACACTTTGTAAAGAAAAACATGTGTGAAGATGTGATATGGTGTTCCCAAATATTATGGTTTCACATTAATGTCCCCGACGTGTCCCTGTTACGCGTACGTGTGAATTCAATTCTGCTGTGTAAGTATTAATATACAACGATAGAATACAATGATTCACATCACAGTTTTAATTTCATGTGCTGGAGATATGTTTATCTCAATGATATTAACATTATGAACTTTATACAATATATACAAAATAATGTAATCATTTACAATTATTAATACATGAATTGCTATTGTAGCAATATCAACAGGCGGCTTGCTAATTAAGCTACCATTCATAACCGTTTACTAAATTAAAATCCCCAATACAATACAATACGAGGGAGATATTGCACAGTATGTGTGTCAACATCGGGGAAAAAAATAATAGTGTCAGCAACAGAACAAAGTAGGCATTTCTTCCACACTTATTCCAGATTCATAAATACACAAAGTCCAAAGTGAATGTTTGTTATCAGATTTCAAACATAGACTATAGTAGTACGGCAGATAAGTGATGGGATTATGCCTTTGATACATGCATGGCATTTGGCACACATTCAGACTATGTCATGACAAAGGTATTTGGCTATAGAGCCATCACAGATTTGTCATTTGAAAAAAAATATAGGCAGGATAACAAGCAATGGCAGCCATTTTGAAAATTTTGAAAATTGCTTGTTTTTCTACCTATATTTGTTTCAAAGGACAAATCTGCGATGGCTCTACAGCCAAATTCCATGCTTGTATCATCAAAGGCACAATTCCCCAAAATATTTCCCCTATCTGCCCCGCTATAGTGGTATAGCAATGTCCCAAAATAAACTGACCAAATTATTATGCGAAAGGCGAACGCATTACTAAAGGTCCATAGCAATAACGAATTTCGTTTAAACATCCTATCAAAACATAAGGATATCATGGACTCGACATACGACAGTAAATTCTCAAATGACGGGCAACGTTGTCACTTTTCATAAATAATGCCCATTGAAAAGAGTTGGAGCAATTCCGAACGAAATAGCACACAGAACAATTTTTTACTTAACAAAATGACTGTTGCCCTATGTAGATAACCGTCATACCGAGTTTGAGCCAACCGGACCCGGTGGGAGGGGAGGGTCGTTTTTACAATGAAGTAAAGTGAATTTTATGTTTAATTAACAGTCGATTATGCATGGAAATATACATATTTGAGTAAAACTCGAATGTCAATCACTAGGAAAAAAATGGACCTGCGGCCAATTTGAGGGTTGGGTCGGTTCCCCCCCCCCCCCCCACCCCACCTATCCCGGCGCCTCCGGGCGTCCCCCCAAAAAACATTTAGCATTTGTTGCTCATCTTGCCAAGCGTTGGTAACAAAAAAAAAATATGATTTTATAACTGCTCAATTTGTTGTTTTTACATATTGCAAAGGGTGGGAATTCCATGTTTTGAATTCCAATATGGAAAAAGGATGATTTTACTTATTCTTGAGCAACGTGACAAAGACTCAAACAACTTAAACGTGTGTCCGTGTCATAAAGAAAACATTTCAGCAGTTTGCGCAGAATTGGCCAGAAGACAAATGGTTGTAAGGACTTCCACTGACCGCATATGACCCTAAGTAGTTGATTGCCTTGAAAATGAGAGGTATTTAGCGGCGGAATTACCCGTAAGGGATGTGAAATATGGCCAAGCCAAACACACCGAGCCGGTCAAATTATATCCTAGAATTCTTGCAGATCACGTAGTTTGGAGATCGTTTTACTAAGACAACGGAAGAGTAGGCTTATTGCCGAGAATTCCGATCGCGCTGACTTGAACGAGGTGGAAGGGCCATGTGAAAGACAAATCACCCAAGTGGTACAAGAATTACAAGCTATCTCCACAGATTTGTGGGGCTTCACTGTCACCTTGAAGGTGCATCAGTGTCAATTTTTAAATTATGCCTTTAGTTTATAAAATTAATATATCTCTCCTCTATTTTTTTGTACGACCATAGGTCACTCACCGACAGTCACCACAATGTCAGGATTTACAGAGCCGGTCCATTTTATGAAGCATTAGCGATTGCGATGAGAATATTAAACGGGACAGATGAAATGATTTGTGAAATGTGTATAGGTTCACATATTTTCTCTCATTAACTTTCTCTCAAAGAATGTGAATGAAATAATGAAACATCTTTATCATTTCTATCACTGGAACAGTCACTCCATCAGAGTGTCACAATATTACGTTATTCAGAGCCTTAAAGACTGTTTGAAAAAAAAATATCCTTTGCCTTAGTTATACCAACAGAAAACTAGGACTGAAATCAGTGTGGAACATACAGGCTTATAATAATTGTTTTCATTGTCTTAAATTTATATCTAAGATTATGTGAAATTTTTTGAAATCTGTTCCTTTCCCCGATAACAGGGATATAAATGTACATTTCTTGTAGTTCCCCCCCCCCCCCCCCACACACACACTCCTACACAGATTTGTGAAAAATTCAGGAAATAATTCTGTATTGACTTTGATGATACAAGCATGGAATTTGGCACACAGTCAGAGTATGTCATAAGAAAGGTATTTGGCTATAGGGCCATCGCAGATTTGTCCTTTGAAAATATATAGGTAGAATAACAAGCAATGGCAGCCATTTTGAAAATTGCTTGTTATTCTGCTTATGTAGATGTTTTTCAAGGGACAAATCTGCGATGGCCCTATAGCAAAATATCTTTTTCATGACACACTCCGACTGTGTGCCAAATTCCATGCTTGTATCATCAAAAGCACAATTTCCCCAAAAAATTCCCCTATCTGCCCCCTAGACTTGCCACACATCCCGAACCTTCAGTGGAAAGAAAGCTGTGAGTCATGGTTGCGTTTGTCACGCCCAATATTAGCCAACTCTAGGAATTGATTTCTAAGACAAAGATTTCTGCTTCCCCTTCCCTCAAGGAAAACTGAGGAAAACGGATGAAGAGTGAGCCACAAATAAGCTAAGTGGACAATTCATTCCTTCATCCGTCTTGATCCAGCGAATTCCGGCAGCTGGATTGAACAGGAAAGTCACATTACTATTATTTCCTTATGAAGATCCGGAGCGGCTCCATACTGAAAAAAAACTCTGTCTTTTTTCATCTCTGCAAATGTTGTCATGGAGAAAGACAACAAACAGGGGAGAATTGAAGATATTGATATAACACAGAGAGAGATAGGACAATGGAGGTGGTACACTGTCCTTCAGAGGCGAAACTTAAAGTGATAAAACAGGTGATGAATAAATAAATAACTGTCATAGTAGAATCACTTTTTTTTACACCAAGGACGCTTTGAGATGGTTATTTAGTCTGTCTAAATTTTAACATGTTCCACTACGGAAAAACTCCACCTTGGGACAAAAAATGATGAGTTTAAACCTTAATTCATAAATACCTCAGACAGTTTAGCCATTCCTATTGGTCGAGAGCCCGTCACGTGGCCGGTATTAAACGGATGATAAAGACATGGCTAGCTGGTCTTAAACACTTTTCCAGTGTCACAATAAAATGTGGACTCCTAAAAATCCAGTGCCTCTTATCGTTTCATTGGTTGAACGTTCACAATCCTCACGTAGGCATGCGCAACACTACCAGGGAGTTAGAATTTTATAGCTCTAAATTCAAAACGCAACGCGCCAGGTGCGTTCTGCGCGACATCGCATAGAACATGATACGCGCGCGTCAATCTCCATAAAAGGGTTTTTTTCATCTTACTCGCCAGCTGAACACTCCATTATTTTGCAGGAGGGATGATTCAAAAAGCATAAAGTGAATTTGTTGAACAAAATCGGGATGTTTTGAACGAATTATATGATTTTTTTTACCGAAAAGGTATTTATGAATGGGAATAAATATGTACTCCGTCGGTATTTATCACTCTGTTTAATACCACTTAGAGTCTGGGTGCTGATAATTACCCTCGCCTTCGGCTCGGGTAATTATCAGCACCCAGACTCTAAGTGGTATTAAACAGAGTGATAAAAACCTCCGGAGCACACATTTATTCCCTTAATCAAGACCTTCCAAGGCACAGATCCCAATCTTCAAAAAAATAATTTGTGAAAGCTCGGACCTTTTTTTCTTTAAATTGCTTTAAGAGATTTTTAAGAAGAGATGATCCTATGGAAATTCCAAATTTTTAATTAAACAATGAAAAAGCAGTTTCACTGCTGATTTCACAAGACTATAATTGGGAGATGAAAAACTTTTGAACATTTACTATCTACAATTTGATAATAAATGTTATAAATATAAAAACAAAATACACTTTTCTTTTTTTAATACTCTACCCAAAAGAGATCATAACACTTTGGCACAATTATATAACATCAGGCAATTGAGACTGGCAACTTCGCAACATATTACAAAATGTTTATATTTCTCTACATGGACAATAACCGTGAATTTGTGTAAAGAAGGCTGTATTTTCTTTGAAATGTTTTTCACACAGAAAAAGGCATTTAAGATGCTCCTGAAAAAGTGCATGATATATTTTTTTTTAGAGTCTATTCATCTCAAAATGATGGGTAAAAAATGATAAATTACAGCCAAAAGTCTTAAGTGAATTGTCCGCTGCTTCAGAACCATAACATCCATGTCAATTGTTTTACTTCAAAGCACAGCTTGAAATAAGAATTTAAGATATGATATTAAGATTCACAGCATTGGTTCTTCTTTTTCACCAATGTATCCCAATATTCCTTTGCACGTAACAATTTTTATTGGCACTGCTACATGTCAGACATTCCCAGACACTTCCTCTGCAACAGTCTCAACAACTGGTTTGCTGATATTGTGCTGAATCAGTTTGGGTGCCGCTCTGAATGACGTTTTTGAGTCCAGCTGGCCAGTCTCCGCATCAACCGCTGGCGGAACAATGTCAGCATTATTGTATAAGACGTGCAAGTGTTGAAGTCCTCCTACCATGCTGTTTGTCCTGCTCAGTGCATCGGAGACCCTGGAGTTTCGTCGACCCTCCGGGCCGCGAGTTGACGACCGCTGACTCTTCTTTCCGCAGCGGAAGAGCCTTCGGAAAGCAGACTTAAAGTCCTGGTTGCGATGGGCATAGATCCACGGATTCAAGGCGCTGTTTGCGAAGATGAGAAAAACAGAGTAGTGGTGCAAAGGTATGGTCCTACTGCAGATGTCACAGAAGCGCTCTATCAGTAACATTAGAGTGAACGTGACCCACGTGAGGAAAAAGAACCCAAGAATGATTAGTAATGTCCTGGTGTATTTGGTCCCCTTGAACATGTGCAAGTTCTTGCTGAAAGTGTTGGGGAAGAGAGAGAGCTGGATGGCTGAGATGGCACGGGAATGGTGTCTAGCGACCAGCATGACCCGGCAATAGCATCCAATCATGACGAAGAACGCCGGCACAAATATCACCAACACTTGAAACAGCAGGAGGTACTTGGATAGGAGATAAAAACTACATGCTGGCTGGTCGTCCATTTGGTTCTCCACCAGAAACTGCCAACACAGTGGCATGAAAGCAATGATGAAAACGAACATCCAGATTACAAGGGAGAAACACAGGACACGCCTCGTCGTTACGTGCTGGTAGTACTTCAGTGGCTTCACCAGAGCGGCGTACCGGTCATAAGCAACGATCCCGAGACTCAGCAAGGAGACGCCGCATCCAAGAGTCACAAGGCAGTAGGGCAGGATGCAGAGGTAGACATTGGTCACCAGGTAACCCAGCAGCTCGATGACAAACACCAGGGGAGCAAAAACCGCCACCGAGACATCAGCCACAGCCAAGTTGACCAGTATGTAGTTGGACGGGATCTGCAGACGTTTGTACTTCACAACCGCTATGATGACCAGCACATTTCCAAATATCGTCAAGATCGTCAGTAGTGACACACTGACCATTGCTAAGATAGTCTGGGGTGTCCACTCTAGTTCAGCACTGCCCGAGTTGTTTTGGAGGGGTGTAGGTGGGCCAGTACCCTCATGTTTGCTGTCTCCCATCTTGAACTCGCGTGATTTGAGACCCATAAATCTGAAAGTTAAAAAAGAAGAGACTTTCTCTTAATCCAGCACTGGTAAGGTATACAGAAGAGAGATTGGCAACTTTGGTATCAGGCCCTAGTCCAAGGTGCAACCATTTGCAGGCACTTTTGGAATGAAACTTTCTGAAAACTTTTCGACAAAGTACAAATTTAAGGATTGGGAATGTGGTGACCAAATGAGACCTGCTCCCTCAAACCTGGACAAAGTTGAATAATTGTTTTGGGTTTGTTTGGCTTTGGCATTTTCAAATTCCTGAGTTTTTAACTTCAAAAGATATATGATCTTTATAGGTTCCGTAATCCTATCGCCCCTGGGGAGAAGGATTAAGTAATAAAAGCCTGACAACCCAATTTATGAGATATTAAAATAATTTTTGTAAAAATTTCTAATTTCTATGCACATTTTTGTTCATTCAAACCGACCAAAAAAAACACATTCCTACTTGATGAATTATATTCAAATGTTGGGAGGTTTTAAATTTACAGTCATTGATTCAGAAAATCCCAAAACCTCAAAATGGTCCGTTCTCCCCCTAAAATGACTTCACATGTCCTTTTTGCAAAAACAACATCTGCAACTTTGTCCAGGTTTTGGGGAGCAGGTCTCAAATACAGATAAAAGTATGAAAGTGATAGGGCTGAGGTTTCTTTTAGGCAGAGTCAAGAGAAGGGTTGAATCCAGGGGGGAGGACAGAGTCGCCAACGAAATATACTGGTAACATATTTCAATAGGGGGCGCTGTTCAAATTCGATGATTATTAACACTAGATTACAGAATGGTGTACCGTATTTTGAACAGGCAAACATTATACCAGTATTATAACTTTTTTGGGGTGTCACAGCAGGGGGGGGGGGGGGGTTTGACTTATTTTTTTGGAATTTGTATGGGGAAAAAAAAATTTTGACAGAGCTGGGGTTGGTGTTTTTTTGACCCCCAAAACCCCCCCTCTGGATCCGCGCCTGCAGGTAATGCTCAACTATGAGGTGAGGGGGCAGTGCAGGGTGGGGAAAGTAACCCCCCAAAAAGGAGCCTGTAACAGTGGGTGGGGAAGTATAACAGAGATTTCATTGTATTTTGGGAGGGGATACATGCAGAAGGGGCTCCATTATGGGTTGGGTGCAGCAGTCAGACCACATCTCTGCACTTAAGACCACTGACAATTCTGCAACCTTATGAATCTGGGTAAAATTTTGTTTCAACTTTAAAAGATCCCATTGAGTTTGGAGCTCACATAATTGTGCAAAAATGGTGCAAATCGCACAGCCACTGGTACAAATAACCTCAAAGACTAATCAATCGTTTTGAGGAGTTACATGTTCCATGATCCCTTCGGTTAAATGAATCTGTGATTTCAGACTGGATTGTCAGGGTCTGAATTTCAGGTCACCATCTGCTAGACTGCCGGGCTAGTAACTGAAACTTTTTTAAAAGAACTGAAGTATTTTTTTTACTAGACCATTACCAATAATCAACAAAATGTCACATTTGAACAGTTCAACAGAAAAGCACAAGAACATTCTCATTCATGGCTATAATGGCAAATGGATACGAACATCTGTTTGTAATGCTGTTCATTTTGCTTGCTAAAAATTGGACTTCAAATGGAGGGTTTGCTTGACGTCATTGATAATGATCCATGGTGTGAAAGCAGTGGCAAGTAGTCCATGGGGTATTCTGAGTATTGGTTGTCGTAAATAATACTGTATAAACATTCAGTTCAACGGCAGCACATTTTAAATGAGAACAATAATCAATGCTTTGTAGGTGACTTAAAAATTTACATTTGATCTTTGCACGATCTTAAAAAAACAATGGCTTAACCAATTTTTGAAAGTAACTAATTTACAAGGATGCAATTTTTGACCATATAGTAAATATTATAACAGTCGGATGCAAATATAACATGCAGAAGTAAATATTGAAAATAAGAATGCCATTTTGGACGGATACCAATTTGCATTCAAATCAATGGTATCAAAGATGCGATGCGGACAAAAAAACCCATCAGAATTGCAAACTGGTTGGGACAAAAACACCTGAAAATCCTGAGATTCCATCGTCATGGCAACACATGCGTGCCTAGCCTGTTCTACTTCAGTGCTGGGACCATGAAACTAGTTCTGTGTAAACTGCAAATTACGCGGCAACAGGATTGCAAGAGAGCAGACACGAACCACTGAACACAAAACCATTCTAGGGCCCCTCAAAATATGCCCTGTTCGCCAAATGATACATGTCATTGTGGTGCATGACAGAATGATAGCTGTCTCCCCACGATTGCGCAAATGGGAAAGTAGCTTGTCCCATAAAAAAACAAGTAAATTACTGGCCTAATTGGTACTCCGTGCTCGTTAATTGCATTGAACTTCCCCAAGGAGCACAATTCCCATCCACAGTCCATTACACAAAAGGCTCCTTCAGTAATGGAAGCAAGTTTTCTATTGTACGATAGAAAAAAAATGCACACCGCCGGTGAAGTCCAGGGCTGTTAAAAATTAACACTTTGCACAAAAGTACCGGCGGAACCACTCTCTCATTATGATAACTGATCTCCATGGAGATATTTTTGACAAAAATGTATATGGAGGATTTAGGCAGATGACTCAAGTCTCGAAAAAAGTTCTTTTTTAATTACTACGCAGTTCCTATACATGATGCAGCATATATACAGGATACATTACGCCTGCCCCTCATTACATATATTGAAGCATGGAGCAAATTACTCAATTTCAGAGTTCTTAAATAAAAGGAAGACACTAGTCAAGAGCCAATAAAAAGTTTTCTTTCTGTCAAACTATGACATGCACAGGATCAATAAGTGGAAATTGAATTAGGCTATGTTGATGAAGGCAATCAAGTTGCAGGCAACGCCTTGTCAAGACGTGGTCTCATAAAGGAAGCAGGCATCGCAGTGTGTTTTATTGCCAGGGAAACCCCTCAGAAGTCGGATACGACTCATTTGAATTGGATGCAGGATCTAAGGAACCCAAATAGAGCATACTTGTATGAAGGAGGTGTGAAATTGGATATAAGGGCTCCGGGCTGTGTTGGGCATTGTAAAATAAATTGCTGTTGAAGGTGGAGCTTTCAACACAACTCTTTTATTTTTTCTTGAGGAAAAGGTGGCATTTTTGCCTGTGGTGCTTCTCTCCTTTTTTTCCCGAGTATTATGAAAGGTTTCTTCAAGTGTTATTCAAAAGCAAAATAGGAACTACATGTTCATAGTTTAAGACTATTCACAATGGTCACAATCTACAATTCAGCCTCTGTACACGCACACTGGTCGAGAAAATGAGGGAGGCAGTATTATTTTGGTTTTGAATTTGGGGAGGGGGTGGGTAGGATTTTTTCTTCCTTTTTTATATTTTTGTTTAGATTGTTCTTGTTTCAAATCTGGCCACACAAAACAAAAGACATTTCCAGATATTTGGAGAGTTGGAATCAAATTATCACAAGCCAACCACAAGTCAACCACAAGTCAACCACAAGTCAATCACAAGTTGATCACAAGTCAACCACAAGTCAACCACAAGTCAATCACAAGTCAACCACAAGTCAACCACAAGTCAATCACAAGTCAACCACAAGTCAACCACAAGTCAATCACAAGTCAAGTCAATCACAAGTCAACCACAAGTCAATCACCTAGTCTTCATGCTATTCCCAAAGACACCACTCTATCAGCGTTCAACCCCCGTTACTTATCATTGTTCATCTCCTATTAATCGTGACTTTAAGTGCAACTGGACTTGTGATTGATTAAATCTGTCGGCGGCTCCAGTTTACACTAAACTATAGTGATCCTGTCCTTTGAAAACTCCACTCTTTTTTTTTACTTCGTACACTTTGTGAATATTGAGCTCACAGGACATTATGTGAGGAGGGGGGGGGGGGCTTGGAGAACCTACAGCTGCTTATACCTGTGTCCGGCCCCCTGCACTCCGGAAACCAGGACAAGCCCCCAGATTAACCACACAATTGGGTTATTTTTAGGCAGGCAGGCAGGCAGGAAAAGCGGAGTCCAGTGCCTGGTGGTATCATATCCACATAATGCACGATTAGTGGACGGGAGTTTTGGATATTAATGAGGAAATCGTTGAGGACTGTCATATAGGGTATCTCTGCTCCAAATCACAAAAGACTTGCACTTTATATTTAAAGGGAATATACATCATTTGCTTTTGCTGTAATTTTCAGAAATGGATGGAATTGGGGGGTTGGAAATATATAGCAAATATAGTTACACTGACTTTTTGGAGGTTTTGGGTTCGAAAATGCTATAAAAACCAAGAAAAACAATCATTTTCCTGTAGTCTGGTTCCCTGACTCCATATAAGAAGAAACAGAGCAGTTTACATACATTGGGGAATTGTAAGGTCAGGGAACCAGTCTAGCTGGCTCGTACCCGTTCATAGGTTTGTAATCGATTGCAAACAAGTGCGATGGTCAATTGGGGCCAGTATTTGAAAAAAAAGCCAGCTTTTTCCAATGCTGATCGGCTGATCAGCGTTGGAAATTGATACAAAAATACCACTTTTCTTGAAAATGACAGTTTACCAGGTGCCATGATTTTACAGGATGCTTTACACTGTTATTCACTTACAGTCCAGCAAGGTATTTCAAAATGATTTGGTAGTTTTATTTTTGGATGTTTGCAAATGTTGTATTTTCCCTTTAAGGAAGTGACACTGAAAATGGACATAAGATTTAAGATAATTTACTGTGGCTTGGTGTTTCAAAGAAGACATCATGAATGTCATTTAAAATCTTTTATCTATGTTTTCAGGTAATGTCACTCGTATCACAAAACAGATTTGTCATCAGAGCACTGTGCGCTTCTGAAAAAAAAGGAATAAACACAAGTTCAAATATTTTTGAACGTTGGGAAGGAAAGGCCGATGTCAAATTTACAACCAACAGATGCCAATTTGGATAATTCCATGGCGACCCACATTTTGTCACTTAATATTTTGTCCAAATCATCCTCTCTGCACAAACAAGATTGACTCATCAGCATATATTTACCATACTTACATGTATAAAACCAAGATCTTAAAAGACATAACCCTAGAAATGTGTTAAATTTTAGTGGGGTATGGGTTAGGTACAGTACCTTTCTGGCCATCAAAAATTGACACGCTTCACAACCAGAAAATTACACTTTAAAATAAGTTACTCCGATGAAAAACTTTACCTGGTGGTGAAATATTGAGGTAAAAATTCGATTCTAATAATTGCTGACTTTAATAAACTTGACAAATTGAGGTTATTTATGCTAAGACATTAATCCATTTTGTTCGCTGAAATGTTTTGAAATAATTTACAAAGGGATGTCCCCTGGGTAGTTTTAGTGTGGCCCAGTAGTTAGGCTACGTCATAAGAGGTAGGGGTTTGAATCCAGCTGCTGGTCAAATATTGTGTCCTTGGGCAAGGCACTTCACCCCCACTTGCCTCTCTCCACCCAGGAGTATAAATGGCTACCGGCATTAGCTGGGGAGTAACCTGCAATGGACTGGCATGGTGTCCCATCCAGGAGGAACAGAAATATTCTCAGTCATTTCATGCCAAGATCACCAGAGACAAACACCAGCCCGATGGGACATATTTTGGCTTGTGACAGACTATATATATTTTTTTAAAATTATTATTTCCAATGATAAGTACAGTTCCAAATTTTTAATTTTTTTTATAGAAAATTGACTATAAGTAATGCCAATTTTAAACAAGTTATTATAAATGAAAAATAAAAAAGGGGATTTTTCATAGTGGAGGAGTGGCAAGATTAATGTTTTTTTGAAAAGAGGCTCTACAAAATCTTAATAGAGTCATATTTCATTAGTCTGCTCATAGGAGACCACGGTTCAAACAGTGCATGGCTTACCCAGAGATATATCTTTGAAGAGCAATACAATACAGTCTCATAATTTATACATATGGAAGTCCTTTGAAAATGACTGACAAGCCATGAAAAATATGCACACAATACGAATATAGATGCCCTTGAATTCTTAATGAACAAAATAAAACAAATTACCATGCTAGTAATTGAAAGAAGCGTCCCTGTGAAATGGTAATCGTTCCGAACGTAGTTTTATAGAAAATTGACTATAAGTAATGCCAATTTTAAACAAGTTATTATAAATGAAAAATAAAAAAGGGGATTTTTCATAGTGGAGGAGTGGCAAGATTAATGTTTTTTTGAAAAGAGGCTCTACAAAATCTTAATAGAGTCATATTTCATTAGTCTGCTCATAGGAGACCACGGTTCAAACAGTGCATGGCTTACCCAGAGATATATCTTTGAAGAGCAATACAATACAGTCTCATAATTTATACATATGGAAGTCCTTTGAAAATGACTGACAAGCCATGAAAAATATGCACACAATACGAATATAGATGCCCTTGAATTCTTAATGAACAAAATAAAACAAATTACCATGCTAGTAATTGAAAGAAGCGTCCCTGTGAAATGGTAATCGTTCCGATGAACGTAGTCGCCAGGGAAACCATTGTTAGCATTGATGATCATGCATTAAAATCACACAATCACTTTTTATAAATTTATAACATCCTGTTGCTTCGCCCACAGTCGTCCCTGTAAATATAGTCACAAATTTGATTTATTACCCATTTAGGGGTTGAAGTTTTTATCATACAGAGCTCCTAAAAACAGAGGACAATGGGTTTAACAAAATTGCAAACATTTACTGTTCAGAATTTTGATACAATTTTGTTTTGGTTTTTGTAAAAAAAAAAAAAAAAAAGTGGCATAAAACCTGTGTCCCTCTCTGTGAATCACTGGAATCTGTAATTTTAAGATATTTATGCAAAAAGCTGGCCAGTACATGGGATGTAGTCAGAACTCTGGAAATAATTAAGTGACTTCCCCACTATCCCGGCCCTTTCAAATTAAATATATCCACCTCTTCCAAAAAAATCCAAAAATCTGTGAAAGGTAATACTGACTGCTGTTTTGCAATTATCCACTGCAACATTCCATGCACACTAGGTGGTAAGATAGGTCAGGTATGCATACTTGAAATTAAGAGGTTCTAGGTCCAACCATTACAAAAACAAACCAAGGATTTTGTGCCACTTTAGAACTCCAAACTAGACTGAGACCCGAACGAAAATTAATGACACCACTTGTCTGGAGCAATGGAACAAAAGCTCGTTAATGACAAATTCAATTGAGAAGAAATATCAAATGTCGTCAGTACACTGGAATTTAAGCCTAGAGGAGCCGATCTCGTACCAAAAACAAACCCGGAACTGGGAAAACCCGGCGCTCGTGGTGTAGATTTTGGAAATTTAATTTGAAATGAAGTAATAGGAAGACTTTCCAGGAATGTTCTGTATTTGATGATCTGTTTGCATGGTATTCATTTACACAGGTACAGTTGATTTTGGAATTCATTTGTACTTTTGTTGTGAAGGACCTGAAATGATGTCCGAGATTCCAGATTGATTTCAGATTAATTTTTTTAACAAGATCTTTCAGGTCTATGTACAACTATTGCATATGTAGAGAAATGTGATACCAGGATCTTTGTTATCAGAAAATCACATTATTAGAAAGAAGGATACAAATTTCATTTCAATATTCATACTGAGTTTGATTTTGAAACCACATATCTCAATCTACCACAAATCTAAATTTATCATATTTTGTTGTATTGAACACATTAAAAGCCTAAAGTTGAGCGTAATTTTTTTAACCAAAATCAACTTGGATTGTACTTTAATTTTAGTTGTTACAGGGATTATGCATAAGTATAAATCCACACAAAATCTGCTTGTTAGCAGACAGGAGTTTGAACAAACAAAAAAATTTGCTACATTTATTTTTAGAAATCACAGACGGCATGCAGATTAACATACAGACTTGCAAGAAAGATCAACTCACAGTATGGTTTTACTGTCTGCAAGCTCCACTCCTCAGCTTTCGAAGACTCGATCCAGACAACCTCAAGATTTGTCTCCAAAAAAGTGGGAATCCTTCCACAATCTTATAAGAAGAAACTTGTTCCTCTTTAGTCTTACGCCTAGACTCAAATCAAAGTGATATCGTTGGCACTTTCTAAAAAAGTGCTTTTCGCAAAACGAAATGTGGCAAACCACAATGTACTGGTTTTCCAGAGCACTTGCTATTGCAAATGCGATTGCTGCTTCCCATGCACAACCAAACAAAACAACTGTTAACTGCTCACGAGCAGAATAAATGCCTTGGTTGTCTATTTCCACTCTTAGCCGAGTCGCAGCTGAACACGAGGAAACCAGGCAATCTTGAAGTGCATCCACTCTGCAGGTTGTCGGCTTCAGTTGACAAATCATCCAGGTGGGTCTCTCATCTGAAAGACTCTCATCATCTCAAGCTCTTGGAAAAGAACGTCATCCCTCCCAAGGAATTACCAGACCCCTGGTCAAATAAAATCGAGGAGAGTTCGGTAGTAATGAGCAGTTACATCATGCTTCCTTATGGCAAATGGTTCAGAACTTGACAAGGATGACCATGATGCATCAAATCAACGGGATACTTCTGGGCCAGCGGATCATCTGTCTTCCAACGAGCTAATTAGTTACGTAACTCGTAATCCGGGCTTTACTCCAAAAACTTGTCACTCATTTTCTTATCTCATCCTCAATGAGTCGTAAGACTGACAGCCCCGTTCTCCAGATTGTGTTCCGTCACGGTAGCCCTTCGATGAGTTAACCAGAACAGAAGTGCTTCCTTTTTTTGTAGTTGACGTTAAGGCCAGGACGGTCAGTAATGTTCCTTGTCAATAGCATGATCAGCAAGTCTCCCTCCTAGTCACATACACTCAAGGCTGTTGCATCCTACTGACTCACGCAATGCACTACCTCCACACAGTCTGCGGGAAAAAAATGCTCTTACAGCTTTGGCCACACGGAAACTAAAACTTGTTCGTAAAGCACCTCTAGTGCATGCTTAGAACCATGTTTCATGTATTCATTTTATGACAAATGATGTTCCCCAATACCTACGTTCCCCAATACCTATGTTCCCCAAAATACTTAGGATTAGGGTTAGATGGTTGGGGAACATGGGTATGCACCCATGCAAACTGAAAAAGTTCACTTTTCTCTATGCCAGCCATGCCAGCCAGCTACATTGTTATTGGAGCATGTGCATGGGATGATTCAGGATGGCTCCACAGTTAAAGAAACTATTTCAATCAAGCTTTAAGCTCTATTTCCATCGATTAAGACCGTTTATTCTAAATGTTTGAAGTTTAATCATTGCTTATGTTTACAAACACAAGTGGGGAGTCAGGTTGATGTAGCGGTACTTTCCTCCCCTTCCACCGCTGTGTCCCGGGTTCGCATCCCGCCTGGGCCAATATGTGGGTTGGCTTTTCAGTCCCTACCTGGTTCTGTGGGTTTTTCCTAGAATATCATTCTGGGGTTTTTCTCCCACCTCTAAAACTGTAACTTCTTCTCAATGTCTTCTCCCTACAGGTTTCTTCAGGCTTGTGAGCTACAGTGCCTAGAGGCGCTTTTGAGGAATCCTTGGTTTCAGTACCAGAAATTATTAATAATAATAACAAAACAAAATAATAAAAAGCTCTCTGGGAATATTTGTCTAATTCTCAAAAATTCAGAGAAACATAATGTTTGGCTTGACTGGCTTGAAGAGATGATTGCCTCTGCTTGCCACAGTACAGCAACAGCATAATGCAAGCAACCAATGAGAGCGCAGCATCAATCATTGCTCCTCCCACCACTGCCTGCTAGTTTCTCCAGATGAGGAATACAAAGTAGGGCACAATTGTATCGTAATTTCGATGATGAAAACAAAATGGCACACACATGTGTCACAATATCTCATTAGCAGCAAAAAAGGTTCAATCTAAGGTTTGAGTTCCCCCAAATGATTTAAAAATCTGGATAGCCACTTGGCTGCTAGAAGTGAAGTCACCATCCGCCATATTACCACCCCAAGAACAATAGATTTGTAAAGAAAGATATCTTATTTAATTCACAGGGACGCTATTTACTTAACAAATTATTATTTTGGTATTTAAAGAACAAAGTTTAAATGGCAACAGCATATATTTTAATTAAAATTTATGTTTAATTAATTAAAGTTTCTGTTAGGGGCGACCCTATTTTAACTATTTTGAACGATGAGAGTGGTTGAGTCTGGTTCCCTCCACACATTCGAATGGAGGGATAGGGAACCAGTGCTAGGGTGACAGTTTTAGCCGATTTTCGGCTAACTTTGACAGATTTTTATGTTAAAAACAAGTTTGACAGAAAATTTGACAGAATGGATTTTTTGGCAGATATCTGGCAGAATTTTGCAAAAATTGATATTTGACCCCCAAAAACAGCATATTTGGGAAAAATACGGTAAATTCGTTTAAAAAAAAGCTTCAAACTTTTCAAACCCTTGCTTAATGTGATAGGGTGGCTGGTCTCTAGGTGCTGAGGTTCACTGGGAACCGGACTTGGGTGATGCAACTGCGTTTCGCCTGAAATTTATGCCATTTCATAACATCTTTTTTGTTTATAATGTACTTTGCACCTTTGGCAGTACCACAACATATGCATGTGATTTTATGTGGTAATAGTGTATTTCGAGTACTTCAGGCGAATTTGGCAGATTTTTGATGAATCTGACAGATTTTTGAATTGCATTTAGCAGAATTTAGCTATGACCTTTCGGTCACCTTGACCAGTGCGTAGCTTCACTTTTCTTTACTGCTCAGAATGACCAAGGAGTTATCCAGATATTTTCAAACAAGGAGATCAGTAATTCCCCTGGTTCTTTTCAGAACCTAGCCAACTCACAAAAGAGATTTGTCACGTGGTGCAAAGGCAAACTTACCCTAATATTACTACAACTTGATTTTAAATGTTCCAACTACTCATCTGTGTGAACAGAAATGAAGAATTTCCCCATCCTTTTTCCCTAAATCGGTGATCAAATCACCTTCTTTAAAAAACTGATTGACATCCCTCCCTCTAATAAACTTGGGACTAGAATGTGCCTGAACCGGCCATCAAAACATGCCGTGACGTCAATCAATACTACAGAATATTGCAAGAGAGAGAATGCATCTGCCAAGGATTTTTTTCCCACAAAAATCACAAAGCACAAAAAGCTTTAGGTGTAATCATCAATTTCACAGCAAGCACAAGTCTATTGGGATGTCTCCCAAATGTACAATCCAGGGTAATAATAATAACAATAATAATATAATAATAATAATAAAAAGCTCTCTGGGAATATTTGTCTAATTCTCAAAAATTCAGCGAAACATAATGTTTGGCTCAACTGGCTTGAAGAGATGATTTGCCTCTGCTTGCCACAGTACAGCAACAGCATAATGCAAGCAACCAATCAGAGCGCTGCATCAATCATTGCTCCTGCCACCACTGCCTGCTAGTTTCTCCAGATGAGGAAAGCAAAGTAGGGCACAATTGTATCGTTATTTCGATGATGAAAACAAAATGGCACACACATGTGTCACAATATCTCATTAGCAGCAAAAAAAGGTTCAATCTAAGGTTTGAGTTCCCCCAAATGATTTAAAAATCTGGATAGCCCATTAGCTGCTAGAAGTGAAGTCACCGTCTGCCATACTACCACTCCAAGAACAATAGATTTGTAAAGAAAGATATCTTTTTTAATTCACAGGGACACTATTTACTCAACAAATTATTATTTTGGGGTTAAAGAACCAAACTTAAAATGGCAGCAACATATATTTTAATTAAAATTTATGTTTAATTAATGAAAATTTCTGTTAGAATATAAGTTTTGTATACTTTTGAGATGACACTATTTTCATTATTTTGAACAATGGCAGTGGTTGATACTGGTTCCCTCCACACATTCGAATGGAGGATTGGGAACCAGTGCGTAGCTTGACAATTCTGTACTGCTCAGAATGGCCAATAAGCAGTGGCGCACCCAGGATTTGGTGGGGTTTTTTTGGGGGGGGGGGGGGGGCTCACAATTTTTTGAAGTTTTTTATTATTAATTTTTTTTTTGGTGGGCAGACTATTTTGACATTGGTGGCACCACTTACCCCTACTCCCCTATTATACTACTCGAAAATAGGCCACATACATAATATCACCAAGGTCAAATCGTGGGACCAAAAAAA